ATATATATAACTGTAGTTTAATTGTATTTTGTTTTATTGCATGTTTTAGGTATTTTCTATTATAATTTTTATTATTACACCAGACATGGGTGTGCATTGTGTTTGCTCAACATGAATATGCTGTATAAATAGATTTACTACAGTTTTACTTTAATTCCTTCGTATTTTGTGTTATTTTGTTTTATTGTGGTTATTTTATTTTATATAATAATTGTATACTATTTACTGTATTTTTTATATTGTTCTTGTTGCAGCAAGTAAATATTATATTTTCTTTTCTTATTTGTAAAAAAAAACGGTACAAAATGCAGATCATCTGTATTTATTTGAAACTTTTCTATGTATTTTTCTAAGAGCCTGAGAGCCCAGCAGGTCTTACCGTTACATTTCATTTCACTTTGAATCTCATCCCTTTTGTCCAACTTGCTCCTGCTGTCCTCCTGCTCCAGCTTGGGCCTGAACACGTCCGGGGCCGTGGCACTTTCTGGTTTGGGGGTGTGATGGGGCGAGGGGACGCTGGTGCTGTAAGGTGCGCAGGCGGCCAGCGGTTTGCTGTCGCCCAGAATGTCTTTGATTAAAAACGACGAGGTGGCAGTCCTGGGGGCGCAGCCGGCCCCCGCCCCGGCCCCGGCCCCTGCGAGCTGCTGCTGCTGCTGCTGCTGCTGCTGCTGCGCCTGGCCGTGGTGGTGGTGGTGGTGGAGATGCTGAAGGCTGTCCTGGACCAGATGCGCGTCGGCGGCGTGCTCCATGGTGACGGAGATGGGGGACGAGGGGCCCGTTCCCACGGTGTCGATCTCCGAGCATGGCGACGGGGTGGCCTGGCTCCTGAAATCCGCCGTCCTGCTGTCCGCGAGCCGGAAGTCTCCGTTCATGAGCGCGGGGTTGCCAGAGTTCGAGGCGCCGGATAAAATCGTGTCTATCCCAAAACTGGACCCGCTGGACGCTTCCATGTTAGAGGACGGCTGGAGCCTTCATGCCAACAGCGAGGAGGGGGGGCTTCTCCCCACCGTGCAAGAAACTCAATCACAACCAAGAAAAAAAAATTAATCAACTCTGGAGGATTTCTTTTTTTTTTCCAGAAAGAAGAAAAACATGTCAGAAATAAAGCCGGGACAGAAAATCCACACAGCCTGGATCTCCAAAATGTTTCATTCAGAAGAAGAAAAAAAGCAAAGTGAACTCCTCGTCCCTTTTTACTGTTTGGATTCAGAAGTTTGTGTTAAAAGTTGAGGCGCATGCAGAGATGTACACGGGGCTGACTCCTCGACATCAGGCTCTCCCCTTTTTGCCGCTAATTGCTCCGGTGTTGCTCCACAATGACTTCCTGGACTGACGTCACGGCCCACGGCGAAGGGAGGAATTAATATTTTCTCCTTTATAATAAACACTCGACGCCCTTTCTCTCTTTCCTTCTCTCTCTCTCTCTCTCCCTCTCTCTCTCTCTCCTTATCTCTCTCTCTTTCTCCCATCCCTCCGCACCCACCCATCTCTCCCCTCTCACTCCCTCCTGCAGCCATTGGTTTGCATCCTGACCGGCTCTGGGAAGCGCACCAATCAGAGAGCCGCGTCTTTATTGGGAGTTTCGGAGCTCCCAGCTCTGCTCCGAAAATAAAACAACTGGGAAGTTTAAGGCCACGCTGGAAACGTTTGTTGTATCAAGACCTGCTTTAGGAAAAGAAGAAAAGAAAAAACTAAGATTTATGTTTTTGTTTTATATTTTAGGAGAGTAAAACTCTATTGTTTTTATTTTGCAGAAAAGTGAAAGTGGAGGAGTGGTCAGAGGGAACTCCGCCATCCTGGTAGGACACAAATTTGTCAGATTTATCTTGTTGTTTGTAAAAAAAATAAATAAATCTCGTGCGTGTGCTGCAGGTGTTTTCTCTGCTCAGGTCCAGTTTAAAAAAACAAAAAAAAAAACAAAAACAAAGCATCTGAGGTGTGGGAGAGGCTGTGGCTCCTGACCCGGGTTCCTGGGAGCCGCGGGACCAGGTCTGGATGTGGATCTGGTGTTTGAGTGTCATGACGACACGTCTTGTTAATAACCACGTCGCCCTAATTAGTGCAGCGATTATGAGGCGCTAATGAGCGTTCAAAGGTAGGAGAAAGTCAGCAGTTTTTCTCCCCGCCGCCGATCCTGAGGTGGGTTTGAAGGATGGAGGGGGGATTGTGGAAAAAAAATAAATGGGTGAGATGAGGTGTGTGTGTGTGTG